CGTTTCAGTGCCACTGAAAAGGAAATACATTGTTATAACACTACAACATTTTGTTTTACAGTGTACTCACTTCATTGCAGCATACCCATTATGTTCCTCTGGAAAGAAAATCATTAAAATTTCTTTTCACAACATTCTGCTTATAAATTGTATGTCCTTCAGTGATTTCATCTATTTTAAGGAAACTGTGAGGATGTAAGTATGGGGAGTTACCTCTGAAAGTTCATGGCTCCTCATGATCCTACATTCATTTAGCCAGTGAACTCTGAGTTCCTTGGCATACTTGACCCAGAGTAGTGACAAACTAGATAGTAAATTCAGTAGTGGACACTCGAAAGTTATATCCTCACATGTTGTCTTTTAAAATCACTCCACTCATAATCTTCTCAGCAGTTACAAGGTGAGTTGAATATGAGAACCACTGTTCTCGTTCTGATCATCACTTGTAGATGAATGCTGGTGAGTTCAATCATCACAGGCTTACTATAGAACTCTTTGGACCCTGACGAGATCTTTGCTCTCAGATGAGTTAAACCCACCTTGGTTTCTCCATTTCATTTCGGATCATTTTGCTTCAGAAGTAAACATTCATACTTTTTGAGTAGGAGGATCTCCTTACTGGAATCTCTGTAAGAAGTGAGAAGATGCTCAACCCAGCGGCATCTGTCTGAATCCCAAATATCCATTTATAGTGGGATGACCTTTTAAAGATGTGCTGACACACACGTTATATTCTCCGACTACTGTCATTCCCAGTTGTTAGTGCTCAAAGAAGCTGTAGAGGACCTGAAACTCAAAATATACCAGGATACAAATGTGTGTAATGAATACTTGCCTTACCACTTGTACTACTGCTGATTTTTAGTATCATTTTTATTTGTATTTGAGCCACCAGGATTTATTTTGTATTCATTCCAAACACACAGAAACCACCAGTACATATAAGCATTCTTCCAGTTCTCAGAAATGGTCCTTTCATGCACACCAAATTAAAAATGTACATTCATTCCATTTGTCCTTCACTTAGTATGCATCTAGACCCAGAAATAGGAATTCAGTAGGGTAGTCACACTTGGGGAGAAATTGATTAAGGTAGGTAGCAGGTAAGTTGCAGGGGCTTTAAATTTCTCTGTAAGGGAGCAGCATGGTAGTGCTGTGGACACAACAAAATGTTTTGACCTTGGTCCTCTTTAATCTTTTGTTTGCACTGGTGGATGTTGTGACAGACCCCGGTACTCAGGATGAGTATGTCTGCCGCTGTATTCTTCCTTGCTCAGGAGATATTGCAACCTGAAGATCCTTAACTCCCAGTTTCCACAGTCACTGGTCGAGACAAGTGTAGGGTGAAACAAACTCTGATTTATTGAGCAACTGCACAAACTTTTATACAGCAAGTGATGAGATCAGATTATAATCCCATCACATCCACCCTGCCATCCACAGACATTCTGTCTTCACAACACCACAGGGGTCCACCTGCTAAACAGCTCCAGACAGCCATAGCCTGGCCAGAATGTCATTGTTCTGAGCTCCTTCAGAGTACAATGGGAGATGACGAGGGATGGTGCTGACAGTCTTTTCATACACAAGTTACACATCATAACACACTTAACTATAACCAATACACATTTAACTTATAAACTCATCACCATGTCGTCACAGATGTATTTCAAATAGGGTTTAATGGAGCCATATTCACATACAATAAATTCTGATTTCTGAATTTTCGTCACCTTTGTAATGTGATCTATAATGGTGCAATTTAAATAAAATAAGCTTAAATCTTTAAGGGGGGCGGCACAAGGACACAAATAAACTTACAATAATGTAGTTGCATAAATATGCACACCCTTAAACTAATACTTTTTGATTTTGAGAGCATTCAGTATTTTGGGGTTGGAGTCTATCAGCATGGAGCATCTTGCATTGGGAATCTTTGCCCACTATCTGAGATTGCGAGGGAACCTCCTGTGTACATCCCTGTGTCACGCCACATATTTTCAATTGGGTTCAGGTTGGGGCTCTGGCTGGACCATTCCAAAACTTTGATCTTCTGGTGAAGGCATTCTTTTGTTGATTGAGAGGTATTCTTTGAGTCCTTGTCCTGAAAAGTGGAATGCCTCTTCAGCTTTTTAGCAGAGCCATGAAGGCGTTGTTCCAAAATTGACTGATATTTGGAACTGTTCAAACGGCCCTCCACCTAGGCTAAAGCTCCAGTTCCAGCTGAAGAAAAACGGTCCCAAAGCATAATGCTGCCTCCACCATGCTTCACTGTGGGTATGGTGTGTTTTTTTTTTGGTTTCTCAAAGAATCATAATATACAGAGAGCGTTAACCTATTGCAGTCATTCATATGTCACCTTTTGGAGAGAAAAATAGGCCTGGATGGAGATATTCTATAAAATCTATGCAGAACAAAGATTGTATAATGAGGCTTAAGCTGGCCATACACCTTACAATTATCTGCAGATTTTCTTTGGTCAGATGGAAAAGGTGAAATGGATTCCTCCATCGACACTTAACTGTGTGGAGGGAGTAATCACCACCTGGGCCAATATGTTGCACTTTTTCCATCTGACCACAGAAAAGCTGCAGATAATTGTAAGATGTATGAGCACCTTTACATTCTCCCAAATCTTTCCTATGTTCAGCTACCATGATGTCTCCTCCTCTTGGTCTGTGATCTGCCATTAATAACCCTGACAACAGTCAACTTGCACTGTCACTCCCCCACCTAAGCTAAAATATTGTTTCATTTGGCAGTAAATAATATTATAAATCAATAAAAGGCCACAAGCCATTAACTCTAAATAAAACTCTTTAAAATGGGCACACATTTGATAGTGTTTTATAAAGTCTTTTTCCACTATGCCTGTTGGAATGTTTATAGATGTTTTGTATGGGTGTTTCCTACCCTCTTCTTGTCTATTTGAGGGGAAAAGTGACTGTTTAGTCAGTTATACCTGGTACTTTTGTTTTTTATTCCCCCTTACTGATTGTGAACAATGGAAAGGCTTTGCTGTGGCTTACAGACATTTTCGTTTCACTTTAATAAAATTAAGTTGCCGGAGCTGCACGGCCTTTTCAGCAAGTGTGTCCCGGACATGCTCTGCTGCTTGTGCAGAAAAATCTGTTTTAGGAAATAAAACAGATAACCTGGACAAATAATAGAGAGCTGTCCCAGAGAAATAATTGGAAATACTTTTTACACCTGTGCAGAAGTTTATCCTTGCCAGCTTTATTGAAGTAGCTATGTGGTTCCCAGCTTGCTGCACCCAAGGATTTTAGTAAAGTAGGCACAGATAAAAAAACAAAACAAATATTTCAGCTGCTCATTTCTGTTTAAAACTATTAATTTGGGAATACGAAAACACTTGGCCTTTAGTACTATCAAGGGACAGGTGTTTGCCCGCTCTGTAATTTTTCTACACCCTCTTTCTAGTTATTAATTTGTCATGTTAAACAAGAGGTTGCTCCCCCATCAAGGTCCCCACACACCTTGCGATAACTTTTAACTTACGAACATGTTCGAAAACCCGCCGAGCATCGTACGATGTTCGGCGGGTGTGTAGCATGTTCGTAAGATAAAAGCCGAACAGGCCGGTGTGCACAATCGCACACTGCCCGTTTGGCATTGCGGTCATCGGAAACCCGCCCCTCGGGGGCGTGGCTTGCGATCTTTGCAAGTACGATCTGCCTGTCCAAGATAGGCAGATCGAACATTTTTTAAGGTACCTTACAACCATTGCAAGACTAAGTCTTGCGATGGTTGTAAGGTGTGTGCCCAGCATTAGGCCTACTCCTCATGGTTGTGATCTAAATTTAGTCCCGTCAGTGATCAAAGACCCCTGCTTGAACCTATGCAGACATCTCCTTGGTGATGGCCTCAGGAAAGGCTACCTTATAAGATGCTATCACTTTTGGAGAAGGGTGCCTGAGCTATCAGCATTGCCTTTTAAGGAGCCTCATTT